GGCCCGGGCCCGGGCCCGCGCCCCGCGGCCTCCCGGCCGGCTCCCCGCCACCGGCCCCGCGGGCGTGACTGCGGTCGGGCTGTAAGTTCGGGCTGCAGGTGGCTTTGTGTTTACCCCGGACGCCGCAGCCAGCGCCGGCGTCATCCTTGGTGTGTCTGAGGCCCAGAGGGGAGCGCTCGTCCTCCGCGCTCTTACGATTTGACTTTTTGCAGGAGTTTTCTCTCGCGTCCGCGGCCCCGCAAAGGCAGCAGCACTAGCGCAGGTGCGCTCGTCTGCTGCGCGCCGGGCCTGGGCGGGTGCGTGAGCTCCACGCACGAGCAGCCTGGGACCAGGCCTTTGTTAGCGCGGTGTGTCCAGTGCGCAGGGCTCGCTGCGGGTGTAACTGTGCGGGACTTCCTAGCACTTCCACACGCTGGACGTTCAGCGGACCCTCCACCGCAGGGCCGCATTTCTGAGCCTGTCTCGGTGGCAGACGACCTGGAAAACTTTAAGAACAAGTTCAGATTTCCAGGCTCCCCTCCGTCCACTGGATCGGGAAGCCTCCCAGGTAGGGTCCTGAATGTGTGTTGTTAAATCCCCAGGGGATTTTCACCGGCCAGCTCAGCAGGAGTCAGAAGACCGAGGTTTTGGAAGCCACTGTTGGAATAGGAAGGGGACAAGATCCAGTCTTAGCTTGCAAAAAGAGCTTATATCTGAATGCAAGTGATTGTGATTCAAACTGGCAAAGTTACTGACTGTGGGAAACGCGGAGTGCCTGGAGGAGTGATGTTTGTAGTCCATCCAGGAAGACTGCGGAAGGAGGCGGTGCTGGAATTGGGCCTCTGACGTGATTTGCAGAGATTCTAGGCAAGGGAACGGTGTGGGGGGACGTTCAGTCCTCTGGTTTGTCTGAGCATACCAGTGTGGAGGAGCCGTGAACTTGGGCCCTGAGGAAGGGGTGGTCCTGCCCTGCAACGGGGCTTGGATTCTGCTTCTCAGGTGTGAACGGCCTGGCCAGTCTTTATGGAGCCATTATACCTAGTAATGGCACTTACTCTTGCCCACTTACCGTTCTGATGGTACAGAAACATCTAAATAACTGTCTCTGATCCATTCACTTCCTAAATTGTTGTAGTTGTGGGTAAAATTGTTCTACTTGTAGGTGAAAACTCTGGCTTTGTGTATGCAGTCTTTTTTTTTTAACCCTGTCGATGGAGTATACCTTCTCTTTCAGTATGTTTGGGGCAGAGTTTGGATTTGCAGATGTGCCTGTAAGCCTGTCATTTAAAGAAAAAAAAAAAACCTCCATTACTTTTTACCCAGAATTAATTTGTTTGCTCAGGAGAAGGCACCCTTATAAGATACAAAATCTGACAACTCCTAACTCTTACAAGTTGGTACTTGGCAGCTTGCCACCGAATACAGTGAGTGGGGAGGGCATCTCCAACCCTGTCTGGGATGCCAGGGGAGCAGAGGGGCTGCAGTGTTTAAACCCCTGTTCCCTGGAAAGTGGATTAGTGAACTGCTCCCTGCTTGTGGGAAGGGCACTGCTGCTGTCACAGGGCCTGCTTGGCTGAGTGTATTTAAAAAAAAAAAAACAACAAAGAAGGCATGCTTTCTGAATTTGTAGATGGCAGGAAGCTGAGCGGGATAAGTACTAAAGTGAGTGACAGAGTTGGGATCCAAAGTTATCTTGACAGGCAGTTAATACCGACAAAATGAGATTTAACAGGTTAAAACAATCATTTGAACAAGAACAGAACCTGAGGCCCCTGGGTGGCTCAGTCAGTGACATGTCTGCCTTCAGCCAGGACCGAGCCCCGCATTAGCGGGGAGCCTGCTTCTCCCTCTCCCTCTCTTGCTCCCCTACTTGTGCTTGCTCTCTGTCAAATAAATAAAATCTTAAAAAAAAAAAAAATCTGATTTCATGATCTTGTGAAAAAACTGTGATTTTTGAAACACTAATTTAAATGCCATACTTTGTTTCAGAAAACCAATGATATTGGTTGATAAAATTAAAAATGGAGTAAATGAAAGGAAAATAAGGTTGGTTTCAAAAAGTGGATGGGAAGATGAGCAAAACTGCACCATCGTGATCCTTACACATGATGTGCAGGTGCTCAGGCAGGGAGCAATAGAGACCTAGTCATTTTCACAGTCTCAGAGAAGAGTGGTTTTGGACATGTAATCGAACTGGTTTCAGATCCACTAACTGCCTTCTTCTGTGACTGTTCCCACATCTGTAAAGTAGGATTGCCGCCTCCTACTGTTAGCACATGTGTTAGAGAGTACTACATGCCTGGTGCTTAGTGCAGGTGTAGCACATGGTCAATGCTTAGTAGATGCTAGTGCTTAGATGTTAGTCTATGAGCTGTTAACTTTAACTGCTATTTAAAAGGAAAAAAAATGCACTCTTAACTGGATTTTGTGAGTGTCCAAAGGGAGGAACTTTCACACTGCTCAGATCACATTGAGTGTATTTTGTTCTTAATATTCCATCTAATGTTCCTGCCTGCAAGCCTCTTAATTTTTATGGTCTGAAGAAAAATGTAGAAGGAACGCATTAAATGTTTTCAGATTTTGTGTTAAATGAGTAGTTTTCATGCCAGCACTTACAGATTTGATTGCTGAGTGACTCAAGTTTTTGTATGTAGAGAGTTGACCTAAACGAGGAAGTATGCCCATATCAGACGGGAATGAAACTGCTCTCTCATACTCCTGAAAGTGCTACCTGCATGTCTTTAAGATCAACGGCTTATACTTGATAATCCAAACAAGTGAAAGGTGTCCTGGTTTAAAGTTGCTCTGACAATAAGTTGGTTTCAGTTTTATAGGGTGGTTCTTTCACTTACTAGGTTGCTACGCCACTATACTTTAAAACTGATGGTCAGCTGTCAGAACTATGTAAATATTGCATGGTAGGCCATCTTCAAAATATTTCCAAAAAAACCCTGGAGATCTGTATAAAATAAAGGTTAAGATACTAGAACAAAACACTAATTGTAAAACTTCAGGGGCAAGCAAGAAAAAACTCTTAAGAAATTAAAATGGATTTTACTATGTAAAAATAAAAATTTCTGCAGGGCAAAATACCACAAAAGCAAAAGACAAACAGAAAACAATTTCGTAGGGGCGCCTGAGTGGCTGTAGGTTAAGCATCTGCCTTCAGCTCAGGTCATGATCCCAAGGTCCAGAGATGGAGACCCACATTGAGCTTCCTGCTCAGCGGGGAGTCTATTTATCCTTCTCTTTCTCTCAAATAAATAAATTTTTTTTTTTGAATCATCTCTAATTTTTTAATAGCTCTGAGGGATGTGAACCCTTTTTTTTTTTTTTTTAAGATTTTATTAGAGAGAGAACGAGCATGTGGGAGGGGCAGAGGGAGAGGGAGAAGCAGACTCCCCACTGCAGGGAGCCCGATGTGGGGCTCGATCCTAGGTCCCTGTAATCATGACCTGAGCTGAAGGCAGACGCTTAACAGACTGAGCCATCCAGGTGCCCTTGAAAATAAATAAAGTCTTAAAATAAAATTTCGTACACATTACCAATGATCCCTAGTAAATGAAAGGTTCAAACACATCAGTAAGAAAAAGACAGGTAGCCCATTTGGAAATTGTCAAAGGCTGTATCCTGACAGTTTATGGAAGAAGAAATGCAAATGACCAGTCAGCTGAAACCAGTGCTTAGCTTCCTCAGTCACTGAGGAAAGGAATAGCAAATCACTGATGCATCATGTTTTCACCGAGCAGATTAAAAATTGGCATCATGGTGGTGAAGATGGAGAGAAATGGACATTCTCATAAAGTGTGTTGGGGGTAGACATTACCACCACTTTTTGGAAACAGATTTGGACATCTGTCAAATTCAAACTACTCATATGCTTTGACCTAGCGGTCTAGCAGATTAAGTAGGGATATATGTCTAAGGTTGTTTACTGTGGCATTATTGTCATGTGAGAAACTGGAATCAGCCTGCATGCCCATCAGTGAGGGGACTGGACAAGTGTGTAGCAGTGCCTCCCACACAGAACAGAACATTAGCTGTTGGGAAGAGTAGTTAGACCCAGATGTGCTGGCCTGGAACATGCCTGGAGGGCTTACATGAACAAGGGTATATGGAGAATGTTGTGTACAGTATGCTTCTGCCTCTTAAAAAATAAATGCATGTACACAAGTGCATCAGCTTAAAAGAAATTGGAACATAACACTCAGCTGTTACCCTACTTCCCCGAAGTCATACTTTGTCTAATTATTGCTGACCCCAATACTTTGGATTACTCTTTATCCAAAATGGAATATAAGGTTCTGGCTAATCAGACGTTTCCATTATAGCATCTATCACCTACAGATTTTATTTTTAAGTAATCTCCACACACAGTGTGGGGCAAGAACTCACAACCCCGAGATCAAGAGTCACGTGCTCTACTGACAGAGCCCTCCAGGCACCCCACAGATTTTTATTTTTATTTTTATTTTTTTAAGAATCCAAATACAAGCTATTATAAGCGATCCTTTCAGTATGCAAAAAGTATTCCAGAGATCAAGAACCTTGGGATTATCTTCGTAGGACTGTCAGAGGGTTAAATGAGATGGTGTTCGGAGGCAGTGTGGCACCTCGCAAGGGCACGGATGGAAGCAAGGATGCCTGGATTTGACTGCCCGCTCCTCTCCCTTGGTTCCACCTGATTGCCTCAGTCTCCTCGTCAGTAAGGAACAGCAGTGAGAGTACTCACCTCATAAAACTGTTGTAAGGATTTAGTGCATTGGAAACACGAAGAGCACTGGAATAGTGCCTGGCAGGGAGGCAGTGTTAATTATTCTTAAGAGCCATTCTCAGTTGTGACCACCAAAAATGAGACGATCTCGTTGTGTTTAATTGAAGTAGCACTCAGTATTCCAGAGTGAGAAAGGAGAAGTGGGGAGCCTCGTTTGATTTGGCACGAGGAGATGGGCCACTGTCTGGGGATGGTGCTCAGATCAGGGCACTTTCAGAGTTGTAGCCAAAGGACAGAGGCCAGGCTGGTGCTAAGCTGGAAGCTCTATGGTGACGAATGCTTGTAAGAGCTGAAAATGTATTACCTGGGAAGGAGGACTTCCCCCATTGGACATTGGCAGGGGAAGGACCTGATTTAGATGGGTAGTTTAATTTGGAAATTAAAATCTGACCTGACCCAAGGGTTGGTTGCTCTTCAGGTCGGCCTCCTCCCTGTAATGTTCTCTCTCCCCAAGAAGCCCGGCTCTCTGGCCCCACTGAACATAGTGTGCTTGCTCTACATTGTCCCATACAGTTTTCAGTCTGTGAGGAGAATGGACATTTGATGGTTAGGCCCAGTTTGGTTCAGGTTAGATCCAGTTTCCTCTTGGAAGTGCCCTGCTAGAATATTAGGGATTCTTGTAGGAGGATTACAGAGTGAGTAAATGGTCGTTCTAAATGCCATTTAATGTCCTCAGGATGCTGCGGTTTGAATACCTCCGTAGAGTGTATATGTCACTTGTGAGGAAAATGAAAGTATTTGCAGTTACTTAGTCTGTTTGGAATCCTGAGGGATAACAATAATGGAGTAGACATTTCCCATTTTGAATTAGGGTGTAAAGCAGAAGAGTTGCTTTTTGTTAAATCAGGAATTTATAAGGTAATTTAAGGTACTTTTGACCTAAAGACTCCTGAAGAAGTTTCTTTTCTTGGAGTTTCTAAATTTTAAATTAAATTTTTGTTTTTATTATTTGTTTCTTTGTTTATTTTTTAAGTAGGCTCCACACCCAGCATGGAGCCCAACACGGGGCTTAAGCTCACGACCCTGAGATCAAGACCTGAGCTTTCCCAACTTAACTGACTGAGCCACCAGGTGCCCCTAAATTTTTGTTTCTAAGAGAGTAGAATTGGGGGTGCCTGGGTGGCTCAGTTGGTTAAGCATCTGACTTTGATTTTGCCTAAGGTCATGGTCTCAAGGTCGTGGGATTATCCTCTGTGGGGCTCTGCGCTCAGCGCTGTCTGCTTGTCCTTCTCCCTCTGTTCCTCCCACTGCTCTCATGCTCGTGTGCTTTCTCTCTCAAATGAATAAATAAATCTTTAAAAAAAAAAAAAGAGTAGAATTGATACCCAGCTCATTTCTACATAGAGGCAAAGGGTCGATATAGATGAGCCTTTTGGAGCATACAGTTGAACTGGTTTTTAAATGAGTACATTTCTGTACTTGAACTTTGAGGAACAAGAGGTGGGACAGACTTCATAGGATGGGTATGTGCACGCCTACATCTTCAGCCCTGTGTTTCCCCCATTTCCTGTGTACCAATCCCTATATTTAATAGCTTAAATAGAAATTTTGGGGAAAGCTGGAGAATGAAGAACGGTGGTTAAATTTTATGTGGAGAGGGACAATTGAATAAAAAACATTTAAGACCAGTCCTCTTGGTGTGTAAATCTTCAGGTTTTTAAGATTTAAAAAATTTCCCTGGCTTTCTCCTGAGTTTATGTTGGAGTATCTGAAATTCCTCATTTTCTCCATAGGTAGTAATTAAGTGGGCACTGTGCTGGGGATGCCAAGTTCACACAGATTTGCTTCCATCAGGCTCTCACCTCTGTGCTCATTGTTTGAGATTCTAGTGGGTGGTTCGTTCAGAATGCTATTGAAACCAGACTTTTTAAGACCGTAGATCTTTGGTCAGACAGAGATCCCTCTGTCTTTGACGTTTTATCTTGAGGGACCCAATAATTATTTTCTTGCTCTAGAACTAGTATTTTTCTTCCCAGGATTCATTTTTTAAAAAAGGTTTTTCAGGGTTTGCTGCTTGGAGGAATGAAATTACCGAGAAAAATATTGGTTTTCCTCAGAATATCCAGTGGCCCTTCAGACGCCCATTGGGTCATCTTTCATTGCATTTATGTTGACTGTAACTGTTGGAAGCAAATGTCTGTGTTAAATAGCTACTGAGAAAATACTTTGTAGAATTTGGTACAGCTAGGAGGAGAAAATTTGAATAGCAAACATCTCAAAAGGCCTCCCCCTTTGACCACCTGTCCTGCCTGATGACCGAATGTTCTTTAAGCAGGCTCTCTGTGTTCTAGGCAAAGAAGCTCAGAAGGGACCTCTGCTTTTTGATGACCTCCCTCCGGCCAGCAGTACTGACTCAGGTACAGTCTTCAGGCTCTCCCAGGTGTGTGTCAACGTGTCATCCTGGGGTTGTAGTTGTCTGAATCTTTCTCCCTTTCCCCCATTTTCAACACACAGATGTTTTAGGTGTTGGACTGTCTTAAGTTTTGAATCCATGGCATCAGGTAAGGCAGAAAAATCCACTAGTCGCTAGTCCTGAGGAACTGCATAAAAATGTTGAGCAGTTTTCTCTGGTTCATTTGAGTGTTTATTTTATTAGCTGAAATAAGATTTAACTCTTTCAGGCAGATATTTGTTTCCTTTGAATTGAGAGGACCTTAAAATAAAATAGGTTCAAGACATTATTTACCGAAGTATGAGTTGCCACTGGATTGACACGAGAGGTTTTGAGTTTATTTCAATGACCTGCATTGGTGTCCTGGTGGGATGGATTCTGAAACTTAAGCCTCACCCAGGTTTTGTGGGCTCACTAAGTGTTCTGCTGTGTTTCAGGGCCAGGGGGACCTTTGCTTTTTGATGATCTCCCACCAGCCAGCAGTGGCGAGTCAGGTAAGTGGTAGGGAAAAAATTCAGTGTGTTGATGGGAATAATACATACAAAATTTATTCTTATGTAAAATGTATTTATTAATAGATTTTAACAGGGTTTAGGATGACATTAAGTATAGCATAAGATTTATTAAAATAAAAAATACATAGGCACCATCAGGTGGAAGCAAAAAGATCATATACTACGTCACTTTTTGGTGATTATTTTTTACTTGAAATTCAACCTCTTGGAAATAACTTTAAGAATTAAGAGTTCAGTCATTTACTTTGAACTTTGTTATTAACAACAACAAAAAATCTCAGAGTATGCCTCTGCCTCTGTCTTTTCCTGACAAACTCAAATATATTCAGCAGAAGTATCTGAATATATGAAATAGTTAAAACATTTTTAATATCCCTGAACCTGATAGTTTTCTCTTTTATGGCACTTACATTAAAAAGACTTTGATCTTTTTTTTTTTTTTAAAGATTTTATTTATTTATTTGAGAGAGAGAGAATGAGAGATAGCGCGAGAGGGAAGAGGGTCAGAGGGAGAAGCAGACTCCCTGCCGAGCAGGGAGCCCGATGTGGGACTTGATCCCGGGACTCCAGGATCATGACCTGAGCCGAAGGCAGTCGCTTAACCGACTGAGCCACCCAGGCGCCCTAAAAAGACTTTGATCTTAAGAAAATGAAATCTGACACTGGTTTAGTGACTGGTACAGACCATGTGCAGGAATTTTCTTGAAACTCAAGACGTTGGTTGATTATTTTCAGTCAGTCCTTACACGTTCTCAAGAATCTCTTTATTGATTTGATTTCATTTTTGTGAAACCTGTTAACATTGGTTGCACCTGTTCCTGTAAATGTGTTTTCCTCTTTACGTCCCAGTTAGGTAGAGGGAAGGACAAAGCAGATTCCTTTCGGTTGTCACCGTGATGAATCTGTTACTCCGTATGACTGAGAGCTTCTCACATGGAATTCCCCTAAGTGGGGGCAGGGCAGGGGGCACAGGACAGAGGGAGGGGACGGTGGGGGATGCAGGCTGTTTTCATATGCAGTTATCTTCTGGTGTAAGAACCTTCCTTATGTCATCAAGTGAAACACTTGCTGCTTTTTAAGTAGATTTTTTTGTGTTATTAATTCTTTACATAAAAATCATCAGGATTAGTCTAGAATGTATGGATTAAATTAGTATAGTTACTGTATTTAGAAAAAGTTATTATCATCTTAGACAAGAATTCTCAGGTTTTCAGGCCTGTGGACCCATACTAAAACAGTATAGCATTCTCACACAGTTAAGGCTAAAACTGTCCCAATAAAGACAGTATTCTTTTTTCTTAAGATTCTGTTTACTTGGGAGAGAGGGAGCATGCAGGGGCAGGGGCAGAGGGAGAAGCAGACTCCGAGCTGAGTAGGGAGCCTGACACAGGCAGGGCTTGATCCCCGGACGCTGGGATCGTGACCTGAGCCAAAGGCAGACGCTTAACCGACTGAGCCACCCAGGTGCCCCAGGACAGCGTTCTTACAATGAAAGTTAATGTGTGTAAACAGGGCTCTTAACAGATTTAATAAAAGAAAGAAAATCGACCATAGCTATGTCTTAGTTCTTCATAGGGCAAAAGACAGTCAACTAGTAACAACTTAGAAGATTTCAACACCATTATTAACAAGCTTGATTTTTTCGGATATAGAATCTAACCTTGCATCCAATATATTGGATTTCTTGAGAAGACATAGTCACCATTTACAAAAATCGACTACATTCTAGGCCATAAAGTAAGTCCCAACAAAGAATTGATTTCATGTACAGACCACATTCTCTGGCTACACTGTGATTCAATCAGGAGTCAACAACAAAGCTATAAAAATGTCTCTGTTTTGCCAAGTTAAAAGAGAGGAAGATTGTTTTACATACACACTGGGAAAGCTGGAACCGACAGTAAGTGACAGGCTACCGGCGAGACCTCTGGGGAAAGTGTATTGGAAACATCTGTGAAATTTTCCGTTAATGTGCCTGATTATGTGGGGCGGGACTTGTGTGTTAGGTTCTACTGTTGCAGACGTCTGTCCTTGTGCAAGTAATGGACTCTTCTTGAGGGCAGGGACATTTTCTTCCCTTTCTCCTCAGTGCTCAGAAATGTCTGGCAAACACCAGTTGAGTAACGGTTGCCTGCCTTCATACTGAAACGCAGAGAATAGAGCCCTTTATTAGTACAGCGGCTGCCATTCACGGGATACGTGATGACCCAGGCACCATGATAAATGCTTTACATACCTCGTCCCCATCGGTTTTAAAGTCACCTTCCGAGATGACAGAATTCTCCCTGTGTCACAGATGAAGAAACTTAAGTAGCTTGCCTCAAGGGCACACCCGTGAGTGGCAGAACTGGGACTTGAAACGAGACTTTTCTCCGCCCAAAATGGGCTCGCACTGCAGGGGCTCTTAGCGTCGGCTTCGAGTGTGGATTCATCTCTCTGCAAGTGTGAATGGCTTCAGCAGTCCTGTTTTGCCTTTCACAACACCAGCAGTTCCTAAAGCCTGACATTTACCTCATGTTAACCCCCTGTTGGCACTTACTACTTTTTTGACTTGTTTAGGATGTGTCACTTGGCAGATTTTGGAAACTTCCCTGTTTACAAATAAGAGCCTGTGGTTCTGAGACATCGTGTGTGTGCGATGGGGTCCCCCCCGTTGGTTCCCCGGGCGCGCTGCCCCGCCCCTTGAGGTCGTAGTCATGACCGCTGCACCTGCCCCTCTGCCCCTACTCATGCGCCACGGGTGTTGTGTCTCGGGTTGGGGCTGGGGCCTGGTCTGCTGGGGACTTTCCTGCCGGTCTATAGCTCTGTCTCTCTCTGGCTTTTCCTTGTGTCCAGGTCCTCTTGACACTTCGATGTCCCAGACGGTAAAGAACGAAGAGAAAGGAGCAAAGAGAAAAGCCCCCGAAGAAGAGAAGAATGGCAGTGAAGAGCTTGTGGAAAAGAAAGTTTGTAAAGGTTTTCAGACAGTTTGAAAACAAATGTATTAGACTTCATATTTTAAAACAACCCAGAGCAAAATCGAGCTCCGCTTTCTGATTTATGGCGCTTCCTTTTTGTGTCTATATTTAAGAAGCCAGTAGGGTTCCCTTTTTGCAAACAGGTTTCCAAATTTACTTTTGCCTCCTCTCTTTACTTTCCCCATTCATGTGTGATCCTACCTTTGGTCAGATACGAAACCTACATTTGTTCCTCAAGGGTGAAAACACCAGGTGGTTTTGACTTTACCTTCTCTAGTGAACAGTTAGCTTATTGAGCACCCGCTTTCTCTCTGACTCCCTGTCACTGTTCACAGCCTGTTGATGAGCACCTTGAATTCTGTGACTAGCGTAGTAGGCAGCATCCCAAGAGAGAGCCTGAGGCTGGAAAAAGCAGTTGGAATTTGTCATCAGCTATGTAACTTGTCAGAGTAGAGAAGAAATGAGAGGTACCCGTTAGAGAGAGGTAGGTGTGGGTGTTCACGCACTGTACCAGACCACTTCGTCCCATGCCCCAGAGATGCGAGGTGAAAGCTGCAGGTGTGCGAGAGGGTTACTAGCTCGCTGTAAGGACGGGGTCTTCCTCTTAGCTTGTCACTGCCCTTAGCTCAAGAGTACGATGCCTGCCAGCAACGGCTCTGTAAAGCATTCATTTTAGTATTTACATGGCCCTACGGTGTCCCAAAAACGAACTTAGCCTAGCCATTAAATATAAATAGACTGCTGTGCCTCCGGTGGGCTCTTCGATCCTTCTCTTTCTCAGGTAGAGTAGAAGCAACTGTCTTACCATTTGTTCAAGTTCTTTACCAGCCTCAGGCATGGAAATCGATATTTTCAGATGTCCAACAGGGCATTTGGGGTAAACTCTACTTACTAGCATTCCCTGAAACTCGTAATTTTTCTGCCCTCATTAATTACCGACAAGACTAGATTTGTACGTAATTCCTTGCCCAGTTCGGGATGACCGCACGTTCCTTGCTCTGGTACTTGACTTAACGCCTTAGCCGGAGCTGTCGGTTACGAACATACCGCCGGTTCGGGATGACCGCACGTTCCTTGCTCTGGTATTCAACTTAACGCCTTAGCCGGAGCTGTCGGTTACGAACATACCGCCGTCTGTTGCCTCCTCTTTGCTGTTCAGCCTTTGAGAGACTGTCTTTGTCCAGCAGTGGTCTGAGTTTAGTTCCAGCTGTGAAGCTGGGGAGATAGATGGCTTGAGGGTACAGCTTCTTTATGTGCACAATGAGGACATTACTGAGCAAAACAGCCAGAGTTCCCTCTCATTTGCTCTGGGACTAGGGCTTCCGGAGGGAAGAGCACAGTTTTGTATTGGCTTTTTGTTCTCTTTTCCTTAGCCTCCTCAGTGATCTTCGGTTTGAAAGGCTATGTGGCCGAGCGGAAGGGCGAGCGGGAGGAGATGCAGGACGCCCACGTCATCCTGAATGACATCACGGAGGAGTGTAGGCCCCCGTCGTCCCTCATGTGAGTGTTCATGCTCCGACAAGCCTGGTGGGCACAGAAGTCTCCGTTCTGACTGGGTGGTTGGACCGTGTTCAGTTTGTATTTACTAGAAAGAATGGCTTATCGATGGGACTGCTTGGTTCGGGGTCAGTGGTTCTTAGCTGGGGTTGATTTTGCACACTACTGCCCCTCCCTGACATTTTTTGGTGTCACGTGGAGGGGTGTGCAGCTGGCATCTGGTGGTTGGGGGGGCTTGGGATGCTGCTAAACATCCTACAGAGCACAGGACAGCCCTGCAGCAGAGCATTGTGCAGCCCCAAATGTCCTTCCTGCTGAAGCTGAGAAACCTGTTAAACAGGAAAGGAGTCTCCACATTGTGGGTCTTTGGGTGTGGTATTCTTCATCAGTATCTGAAGAGCTTCCAGCAGAGAATATTCTTATTCTGTGAGCCAGTAGGTAGAGTGGGAAGCTGCTAATTACAGCCGCACGTGGGAATCAAGGAGAGCTAGTGTAATAGGGCCCAAAAAGAGAAGAAAAAGCAGAAATGGCGTCAAGGAGAAGAAAAACAGGGAAAATTTTCCTGCAACTGCACAAACTAAAATGAAGCCTTTGGATAAGCTTTAGGCATGGAGGAAAACCACCAGAAGGTAGGACATCAAGGTATGTCCTACTAAGGTAAGTGAACATGCATGACATTTACACATACGATAATGTGTCTACTGCATAATTACATAGTCTGCACACCACCAGGTTTCCATAATCACATAATGTGTAGGTTACATTCAGTAATGGACACCAGTTGGCCATTAACATGCAGTGTGCTGGAGCCATTGGTGCTAGAGGCTTTTGTCCAGTTGAGGAAGAAAGGTGGCTGCAGGGAACCTGGTCCTCTGCGGAGGTGACTGTACAGATACGCGTGCTCACTGCTGTCAGGCTGCCCTTGCTCACCTGGGTGTGCTTTGGGGTTGCTTCTGAAGCCAGGAGAGGGACTTCTGGAGAGCCCCAGGGCAGTGGGCCTCGCTGGGATCACTAAACCGTACTGAGCAAGTCCCATGCGTATGAGAACCGTTCAGGGTTAGGAACTAGATGAAGTTCTGTTTTCATGGCTCAGGATGTCTCCATTGAAAAGGAACTCAAAACGTGTTTGAAAAAGCAGCTCTGCACAGAAAATATCATTTCTCATAGGCATTTTCATTCTTCCTTCTCAAAACAGTTCGAATCATTAGTGACATTTGTTCTATATCACATTTTCTGGCAAAATTTAGAAGGGGAGGAGGGGTACGAGCGGCGAGATGCGCCTTGAGAATTCGGTGTTGGATCAGTCTGAGCAGCAGTTCTGGAACTGCCCTCTGCTCTCTCAGATGTTTTTCATTGTCTTGGATCAGTAACTGTTTTATCAGTGTGTTAGCTTATAAAACTAAATCCGATTTAAATAGAAAAAAGTTCTAGTCTTCAGTGAAAGATCAGTTAATCTTGATTTTTGAAAAAAAATGTGAGTCTTCAACTTTTTTTCATTATTTTTAAGTAATCTCTGTACCCATTGTGGGGCTCAAACCCACAACCCTGAGATCAAAGAGTCGCACACTCTTCTGACTGAGCCAGCCAGGCACCCCTATTTTCATGGCATTTTTAAATTAAAAGTTAAAAACTTGGGGCGCCTGGCTGGCTCAGTCGGTAGAGCGTGCAACTCTTGATTTCAGGGTCGTGAGCTTGAGCCCCTTGATGGGTGGTGTAGAGATTACTTAAATCAGTGAACTTTAAAAAAAATAAAAATGAAAATACCATCAAATTTACTTCAACATTTGTCTCAGTTAATGCTGTGTCCTTTTTTCTCATTTGTGACAATGTGGTGTCTTACCAGGGGACATTCTCTGTCTTGTGAATGCTCACTGTTTGAGATAAGATTTAGACGCCTGGGGACGCCTGCGTGGCTCAGTCAGTTAGGCATCTAGACGCCTTTGGCTCAGGTCATGATCTTGAGGTTCTGGGATCAAGCCCCATGTCGGGCTCCCTGCTTAGCGGGGGCCTGCTTCTGCCTCTCCCCCTCCCCCCACCCATGTGCGCACGTGCCCTCTCTCTCGTAAATAAAATTAAAAAAAAAAAAAAAAGATTTAGAGGCCTTAGTGGAGAGGCGCAATCTTTGTGAAAATCTCGTTAACCATCAGTTCATTCTTCCAGTACCCGGGTTTCATATTTCGCTGTTTTTGATGGTCACGGAGGAATTCGAGCCTCAAAGTTTGCTGCACAGAATTTGCATCAGAACTTAATCAGGAAATTTCCTAAAGGTGGGACTGAGAACTAAATTGGTTTGTGTCCATCTTGGTGTTTGTTGTGTGTGTAAATCAGGAAGATAAGCCACGTTGGAAAGAATCCTTAGTGGCTCTCTGAAGGTGGGGCCGAGGAGAATGGGCTCTGGAGTGAGCAGGTGGTGGCCAAGTAGGGTGCTGGCCTAGGGCTTCATGTCTGCGTGATGGCACCTTGTGTGGAATGTTTGTGTAGGAGTGTGTATTTGGGAGACTATAGACCAAACTCAGATGAGCCTGCCTTGCAGGCGAGGAAGTAGAGATGTTCTTGGTCACAGTACAAAAACAAAATGGCAGCAAGAGGAGAATTTCCTCTTCTTAAGAGTTTGTTGTCTTGTTCTTTCTGTAATAGGAGATGTAATCAGTGTAGAGAAAACGGTGAAGAGATGCCTTTTGGACACTTTCAAGCATACTGATGAAGAGTTTCTTAAACAAGCTTCAAGCCAGTAAGTTTGACCACATAAAGATGTGTGAATGGTGGGTATGTGTTTGTGTGTGGTTTTCCTTAAACACATTTTAGGTCTTCTTTTAGCTGAATGTTAGTGCTCACTGTCTGAAAAGTACCTAGCGCTGAGTAAGCTCTCATAACTGTAACTGAATCTGAAACAGTAAAAAAGAAAGTTGTTGAGAAACTTTCCACGTTGACTGACCAGTCAGCTCTGGAGTGCATCTCAAAGTTGCTGGCATGTTGGTGGTGACCGGACTTCTGACGTGTCTCCCTGCAGGAAGCCTGCCTGGAAGGATGGCTCCACTGCGACGTGTGTTCTGGCTGTGGACAACATCCTCTATATCGCCAACCTCGGAGATAGTCGGGTGTGTGGCTAGTTGGGTGGCCCGCGAGTGTGCAGCAGGATGGACATGCCGGCGGGGGTGAAGTCTGTTTTGTGGGGCTGCTGCCGGGGCCTCTGCGGAGTCTACGATCTGGGTGGGGGACCGGCAGCCACGCTCGAGGCAGTTTGTTTTCTGGCACACTTAGGCCCTGTGCAGTGTGTATGCACGCCTGTCTCGATGGTGCTGTGGGTCATCGGTGTGCAAGGTGCTTAAGTATTTCCCAGCTGCATTTCTCTGACCTCAGACAGTAACCCTTGCCTCCCAAAATCATTGCGATTTCAGAAAAAGTCAAAAGTAGTTGGAGAAGTGCTAGGTGATGTGCCATATGTCCAGAGCCCAGGCCACATGGCCAAGGGAAGAAAACCCAGTTTCCCACCGTGACATGTCCCATGGTGACACCCGTATCCCAGCCCCCGTTGTGGGGAGTAACTTCAAGCTGGAGGGCGGCACCCCACAGTCAGGTCCCCGCCACCCGCCCCCCTTGAGAACCTGACGGTCATTTCCGTCACCTCTTGCAGCGAGTCTTGCACTCCGTCAGCAGTCACAGTGCCCAAGTGACCCTTCCCACACTCAGGCGGCGTCTTCTGACCTGCTGCTCCCACCCCCATCGCAGAGTGACTTCCAAATAAATGCCCGGCCCTGGGGGTGCAGCAGTGAACATCACAGGCAGTCCCTGCGAGAGTGGGTCTTATATTCTGGTGATTTTCTAGTAGATGGTCCCAGGTGCACATGTGTTTAGGCTAAATAACGTAACAAATAACATGTAAAAATCAGTTGGGGCGCCTGGGTGGCTCAGTTGGTTAAGCGACTGCCTTCGGCTCAGGTCATGATCCTAGAGTCCCGGGATCGAGTCCCGCATCGGGCTCCCTGCTCAGCAGGGAGTCTGCTTCTCCCTCTGACCCTCTTCCCCCTCGTGCTCTCTATCTCTCATTCTCTCCCTCTCAAATAAATAAATAAAATCTTTTAAAAAAAAAAAACATGTAAAAATCAGCCAAAAAAAATAAAGCCTTTGGAGTCAGATCCACGTTGCTCTGCTGGCTCTGCTCCTGGCTCTGCTCTGTGAGTGTAGGCACAATACCCATTCTCCAGGCCTCGGCTTCCTCCTCTGGAAGTCCGAGGTTTTCCCAGAAGTTCTCATGCAGCAGACACGGCGGTGGGGCGCACAGAGGCCCATGTGGTCAGCGCCCTCTGCCCCCATGTCTGCCTCCTGTAGACTCATGGGATAGTGCCTCTTGGAGGGGTTTTGACCCTCGGCAGGGGCCTCCCTTCTGTGTCACAGGCGAGAAGACAGCAGCCCACGGGGGCAGGGGGGCGGTGCACGGTGCTCAGCCAGAGGTGCGAGCTCCAGACTGGAGACACAGAGCAGGGCTTCTCTCCCTGGCTTCCGGGATGCTCTTCTGCTGCTTGAGCCTCTAAACTCATGTTTGTCAGCAGGAGATGGAATCTGAAAGTCCATGGTTAAGCTTTGTCTTCAGCTGGTGACTTTGAGTTTCCTGACTGTTGTAATCTCAATGTTCCCAGGCAATCCTGTGTCGTTTTAATGAGGAGAGTCAAAAGCATGCAGCCTTAAGCCTCAGCAAGGAGCATAATCCCACACAGTACGAAGAGCGAATGAGAATACAGAAGGCTGGAGGAAACGTCAGGTGACGGGGACTGGCGGCCGCTCCGGGGAGGTGGACTGTCCCCTGTGGGAGTGGCTGGGTAGAACCTTCCATGTGATGCAGTCTGCCGCGAGATGAGACTGTCCGAGGTCTAACCTGGGGAAGCAGGTGAATGGATGTTGTAGGATTTCACATTATGTCCAAGTGGGAGCAAAAGAGGTACCAGAAACATGGCTCCTTGCATTTGCAGAAGAGGAAGCCTGCCTCAGATTCAAGTTCTCCATCTGCAACATTTTCTCTGTGCCTAGGAACTTGCTTAAATACTACTATGAATAAGCTACAGTTTTAGGCAAATTCGCCAGAGAGAAAACCTGAAGTGAAAACAGTAGGTCTTTGTAGCGCGTGCTGAGCATCTCTGGGCTTTCTGGCACGGAGGGCCCTGCCTGGCTGGCTCTGTCTGCAGCCCCGGTTCACCTCTCCGGATGTCTCTGACGACCGCATGCCTGCCCTGGTTTAGATCTGCCGAGTCCCTGAGGTAGCTGGTGGAGGCTAACGTCTTTTCTGTACCGCAGGAGAATTCTACTCCAAGGACGTGCTAGGAGTTTGGCCAGAGTGTCTTCTGGTTCATTTTACAGCTTGATCGCTAGGTTATTATGTTCTGCTGGGATGAGGGAGCAGTAAGGCATCCATGTAAGATGGTAGTTGCTTGTCCTTGGGAGGGCAGCTTTTTCCCCATCATTCACTGTGGCTAGCTGGGTTCTGGCCGGTGGTGCCGGGGGCTCTCTGGGGAGCAGTCAGAACTCTGAGTTTGTTCAGAAGTTTCTTAGAACTTTAAAATTCTGCTTTTGTCTTTAACTCCTTGGAGAGATTTTGACATAGTCCTATATGGCTGGCAGTTACTTTCTGTTTCCCGGTCTACACAAAATTAAGAGCAGGGTTTGGGTGCCTTAGAGACGTGACTGGACAGTGTGGCTCAGGATGGGCCCCTCAGGGCAGGGAGGGCCAGGGGCTCCGAGCAGCAGGGCCGGGCTCTGGTCCGTCCCTCGCCGGAGGCCTGGGCTGGCCTGCTGGGTGTTTTTCTCCACACCCTTCCACTTGTATCATTAAAGCATTCGTTTGAAAGTTTTTCGGAAAAAAATTTAAAATAGTAAAACATTTCAACATCAACCACTTAGATTCAGTAGTTAACGTTTTGCTGTATTTGTTTTGTGTGCGTATGTGAGGCCAGCCTGTGTGAAGGTTGGTCTCAGACACAACCACGCAGGAAGGACGGACTCCGGGGTTGGGTTCTCTCCCGCCTTGTCTAAATCCCTGTTACCCCACCTACTTGTGGTGTCTTTGAACCCAGCGTCCGGCTTACCTCGGCTTCCCACTTACCGTGTGGCACGGTCACTGCTCGGGCTGCACTCGGGCTGGCCGGGAGGGGAGGCCGGCGGTCGTGCGGGGTCACTGGTGGCCCATTTGCCTGCATTTTTCGTGGGTCATTGAAGTGGCTTGTGTGCATTTCCTCTCCTCTGGAAGCCGGGCCTGAAGGACTCAGTCAGAGTGCGGTCAGCTTGTCCTGTCGTGCTCTGAAATACAGATGGCTGGCTTCTCCTGGGTCCACAGTTTCCTGGGCTCCCGCTCTCCCCTGTCCCTCCAGCAGGGCGGGGAGCACGATGCTGGCTCTGGGTGGGACTCTGCCTGGGAAACAAGAATGCAGGCAGCAGCTTCTGTGGTGCAGCTCGGGAGTTCGTGCTCTCTCTACCAGGTTGCGGCACGAACGGGTCTCTGGGACCTGCCACTCAGTCTTGTTGAAACAAGCCAGCTTCGTGACTCAGGTTGGAGGGGGGGGGGGTCCACGCCCAGTACCTCGTCACTTGGTCACTGAAGGAGCCCTTCGTTGGGTTCTCACGGTGCTTGTGCTTGGCGCTGCTTCCTGAGAGATGCCCCGCCCTTTGGGCTTTGGCTCTACTCTTGAGTCCTCTGGCCCCTCTCACTGTTCCTTTCATAATTGTACTCGAGAAGACTGCTCGGCTGTCCGTAGATTCCAGCAGGTCTGTGCCCACTGGGAGGGTGACTTTGTGGCCGCACTGAAGTGCCGGTGGCCAGGCTGGATCCTGACCCCAACTTGGCGGCCCAGGCCAGGGAGGTGTTTCCTGCCACGCACATCCATCTGCCTCTCCTCTACAGAGCTCTCGTCTGTTGGGAAACCTCCACAGACCTCCACGAACAGTGTTGGGGTTTGCCGAGCACTCAGGTCCCTTGTTGTGTGGCTTCTCTGGTTTCACACGTGAGGGTCTGAGGGCCTGCGAGCTTGCAGCTGCCCCAGCTCGCGTAGCATGTAGGCCCACCAGAACTGTTCATGGGGGCACCGAGCCGGGGCTCTTTCCCCTGCTCAGAGAACTCTGATGACACGCATCCTGTTTAGAGGTCGCCTCCCCATTCTGGATGCCTCATTTAAAAATGGAATGGGTAGAAGTTGAATGTGCAGAATACTACAATTAATCCGGTTTAAAGTGAATCGTATCCATAGCCCGTGTAAAGAAAACCTGCTTCAGGATCTGGGACTAGTTGCTTCCAGGGGTTTTCCAGGTCTGATTCAGTGTAAATACAAATCTTCTAGGCCAGCCGTTCTTACCCTGGCTGCGTGCTCAAATCACCTGAAGGAGCTTTAGGACAAAAAACAGAGGCAAAGCCAGGCCCCAACCCAGTCCCGTCCCATCAAGTCAAGCCTGGCTGTGGGCAGGTCAGCAGCGGGTTAGGCTGTGGGCTGCTCCGTCAGGGTGCCGCTGGGCTGAGGCACCGAGGACAGCACGGATGTTCCTTATCTAGAGCAGTGACGATTCAGCACGAAGTGCACAGACCTCTCTGTACGGAGGCTGAGAGACAGCAGTGCTGGTTAATAATGCAGCTCCCACAGGCTCCATCCCTCGCTCTGCGTGAAAGACGTGCCTGGAAGTACCGTGAACCCGTGGTCTGTCAGATGGAGTCTTTGTGTTTCCCTCATTTTAGGGACGGTCGCGTCTTGGGCGTGCTGGAGGTGTCACGCTCCATCGGGGATGGGCAGTACAAGCGCTGTGGGGTCACTTCGGTGCCGGACATCAGACGCTGCCAGCTGACCCCCAATGACAGGTAACAGCGCCACAGCAAAGGCACAGGGTCTCGTTCTCTTCCCGACTTGTAGTTTGGATCCTGAACCTGGCGTGGGTGGGGGAGGCCCTGTCAGGGGCACTGCCCGGGCCTGGCGGGGCAGGACGGACAGACCTGGGGGGGGCGCCCCAGTCTGGTAGGCGAGCGTACATGTGAGTGGGTGATTCCGGCACCGTGTGTCAGGGGAGCATGGGGTGCTCTGGGACACTTGGGCCACATCCCTGCTGGAGGAAGGAGAAGGGCTCTCCGGCAGAGGGAAGACCCACAAAGCCCTTATAGTGGGACAGTAGAACAGAAGGCCGGGCAGATGCCCGTCCTGAAGAGTGATGGAGGAGTGACAGCAGGGCGCTCTGGGGATGGGTTGGGAAGGGTCCTGAGTCCCGCGCTGAGGAGCTTGAGTTTTAGCTCATGCTTGCTGGAGAACCGGGGCTGGTATTGAAGCAGAGCCGGGCTAGGTGGGGAAAGAGGTGGCTGTGCTCGGATGCCCACGGGGATGGCGCCCCGCCCAGCCACAGCCAGGGGACGCCCTCGGTGAGGAGCCCCTGCTAGGCCTGCTCCCTGTACTGTGCGAGGGAGCCTCCTCGTGGCCCTGCCTGCTCGGCCTCTGCCCAGTCTCCACTCCTGCCTCTGGCCTATGCGGCCGCTGTGCTCTTATCAGCTTTGGGGGCCTGGGACACTTCCACCAGCCCCTGTGGTTCTCTGAACCCCGGGTCCCCTGTTGTGTGCACTGTGCTGGCGCCCCTGCTCTGGGTCGTAGTCATGGGTTTGTGGGACAGGTCGCTCAGGGTCTGTCACCAAAGTAGAGGGGGCGGGAGCCTGCCTGGCCTTGTGCCTGCTGGGTTCCAGGCACACTGTGTGATCAGTGAGTACTTTGGATGAGTGCCCCCTCAGAGGAGGAAAACCAAGACCTGGGTGTGAGAATGAGCAAACCACGAGCATTCTGCCTCAGCACTGTGGGGAAGCTCATGTCTTAGTCTTTGAGTAGCTGGACAAGTATTTATCTTATCTCCATCATCACGCTGTTTTATAAAGTTTGCTGCCACGGCCCATTTATATTTCTCGTCCGTGCTGTAGGTTCATTCTGCTGGCCTGTGACGGCCTCTTCAAGGTCTTCACGCCAGAAGAAGCGGTGAACTTCATCCTGTCCTGCCTGGAGGTAAGAGAGCTCACCAGCGAGGACCAGCTGTGGGAGCTGCGCTTGGGGTGCGGACCTGGGGCAGTTTGCCACGGTGAGCTCCCCCGCAGGGACTCACTGCTTTGCTCTGACGGTGGCTGGGGAATAGCACCGCCTCGTGGAGATGGCATCTTGGAGGGTGACAGGGGACCCTCTCCTGCCCGCTAGGATGAGAAGATCCAGAGCCGGGAAGGGAAGCCCACCGTAGACGCCCGCTACGAAGCCGCCTGCAACAGGCTGGCCAACAAGGCAGTGCAGCGGGGCTCGGCGGACAACGTCACCGTGATGGTGGTGCGGATAGGGTCCCCGTGAGGGCCGGCGGGGCAGCGAGGGTGCGGCGGGGCCGGGAACGCGGCATGGTATTGACTTCACAGGTTCATCGTGTGTGTGTGCACATTCTGTGTGTTTCGTGTACTCCTGTGGGACTCCCATGGTTGTAAATAAAGGTTTCTTTTTTTTTTCTTAGTGTTTTATTTTATTAGATTTGAGCAATTCTTGACCCTTCAGGGGTTGTGTGTGTTTCTGGGTACGCTCTGGGTCTTCCTTATTAAACCATCGTTGGCATCTTGGATTGGCCCTTGATGGTGACCCACGAGCTGCTCAGCGTGCAGGGTTTTGTAGTTCCTGGCACCCTGGCACCTTTCCTGTGCTCTCTCGCCCTTGAAATGACCCTGGTTGGGGAAGTGGCATTGTACGGGCAGGAGACTGAGGTAGGAGCCTGCCCAGACAGGCTCTCGGAGCAAAGGGAGGCTACATAAACGTTGCGGAGCAGGATGTGAGGCTTCGCTGGGGAACAGGACACAGGACGCGAAGCTACTACTCTCTGGACTAGCGGGTCTCGGGCAGGCCCTCCCAGAACGGCATGGGATCCGGCTGCTTTCGGATTCAACCCCACTGATAGTAGATGCTGTGTGTGGCCCAAGGACTGCGGGGCCCTGGCATTCCCGGGACTGGCATCTGGGTGCCGTGGGTGGGAAGCGGACAGGTCGGAGCGGCCTCTGAACTCCAGCTTCCAGCTTCAGGAATGTGTGTTCTCTCTGCCCCATGCCGGGCTGAGGCCGGTCTTCGCGGGAACACTTGGAAGGGGGACCCTTGTGGTAAAGATATTAACAAGTGTGTAACTAGCCTGTATACAAGAACGAAGTACTTCTCGAGTCCTTGTGTAAAACAGGTCACACGGTCACTGTAACTGTATTTCGGTAAAGCGGCTCCTAGGCCTTGTGTAGAGTTTGCCTCAGGATGATGAAAGTTTCTAAAACCTTGCCTGGAAAGAGGCTGTTTGCTAATGCTCTCAGGCCCCCGCCCAGCACACGCCTTATCGCCCCTTCAGCTCCGTTAGCAGAGCGGAGTCCCTGCTGCAAGTACCTTGGGAGCATTTTGAGCACACCCTTCCCCAGTGTGGAGCACGGGTTCCATCCCTGACATCATACGGCGGGCACCCCTGAAGAAAGGACCCCAGCATCCCAGAGCCGGGAAATAGGACAGTTAATTCAGTCCACATCTCCCCACCGCAAACCAGGCGCCCCTAACTCCCCGAACACCACCGTCCCAGAGCTGGGGGTGGCTTCGCGTGGAGGCTTCCCTGGCAAGCCCCCACCCCTGCCACGGTCTTCACGTGATCCAGGGCCCCCCCCCCCCGGGGTGGGAGGCCACCCTCCACCTCCCCTCCCCCAGTCCACTGCTCGCCATCCGCAGTGGGTCTGGGTGAAATGATGAAGATCCGTTATTTTAAGGTCTGCCCTTTGTTTTTATAACTGGACAGTCGTGTAGCACGAGAACTCTGACGTACTTGAGCATCTCATCCAATCAGTTATATATATAAATAAATTCCATCTGGCAACATTACACAATAAATACTTCAACAAATTGTGGTATAATACACTTAGGTTGAGCAAAGGAAAGATCTGCGGCTTTTTCAAGGGTGAAGGAGAACTTCTTTGAAGTATCCGTGCCTGCTGGGTGCAAAGTGAAATCCAGAGAAGGGTGTGGCCCCACAGCCCTTATCAGAGCCCTTCCGGGTAGGGCGGGTTCGGGCCCTACTGAGAATTGCGCCGGGCCTGCCAAGGGCACCACGTGGCTCCCTATGTGTGGGGCGCCTGGGGCTCCCCCTAAGCCGGGAGGGAGGGAGGGAGTGGGTTCTCAGTGGAGATGGACGCTGTAGGCTCTGGGGGTCCGGCAGACCTGGCCACGGTCACCTGCTCCGCCTGAGGCCAGCTGGACAGTCCCTTTGACTGCGGCCACTGCCCTGTTCTCTCCGGGCCTGGACACACCCCTGTCAGACCAGCCTGGCTTCCAGGACACCTTGTGGTACCATGTCTCTGCAGCCACGCAGGGGGTTGGGGGGCCCTACACCTTGGAAGGAACCTGCTGCAGGTAGATGCCCGTGTCCCACCCCCACCCCCACCCCGGTCCCATCCCTGCTACAGCATCACAGTGGACTCGGGACCCAGGTCTTGGGGAACCAAGACCAGCTTTCTGGGCACCATCTCCATCTGTCTTTTCCCCACCTGAGCTCAGGGCCACCTGTCTCCCCAGGGGGAAGACACATGGAAGAACCGCAGAGCCCGCTGGACCCCGCGGGTCCACGGATGGGCAGCAGGAGCTGTTGGCTCATGGGAAGCCTCTGCTTTATCTGTTCAGATGGATGGGCAGGGCCTGCTCGTCTCTAATCTGCAAAGATGTTCTAGATCTTTTGTTTGGTAGCTGGATCCCAACGGTGAGTCAGAGCCTCCTAGGAGATGGGAAGAGGGACCTGTCTAGGACAGGCTTTACAGTGGGGGGGGGGCCACAGGACGCTCTGTGAAGGCCATCTGCAGGGTGAACTTACGAGTTCTCTTGCACATGTTAGACTGCCCCCCCATAAGCCCCTTTCCAGTGTCACTCTGGCGCCCGAGGCTGCTGTGCCAAGTGTGTCCTGTGGCCGCTGCAGGAGGTCCAGGCCAAAGGCGCCGGTGGGGAGAGGCAGGGGGGGCCGGGGAGCCCCAGGTGGAGACGGGAGGGACGGGGAGGCTGCTGTGCAGGCCCAGCACGCCTTTCCTGGGAGGCCCTCTGGCCCAGTGCAGGCTGCCCCTCCTCCCCGCAGGGCATCCAGGCAGGTGACCAGCCTTTCCCCTCCGTGCTGGCGTTCCGGCAGCCCACAAAAACACCCAAAAAATGGAAAAGCTGGGACTGGGCCAAGGCACAGGGGCTGAGGCCATCTGGGCAAGCTGCCCTCCAGACCCGAAGAGGAGCCAGTCTGCGACCAGGAACAAAGGCAAGTCCTCCTGGGCACTAAGCCCCGCTAGAAACATGGGCTGAATAACAGCCCAACAAGGCCCTTCTCCTCTTGAAAGACGGCACCCTGAAATCCCTCCTGGTTCTGGGACGGCCCGTTTGCACGTCCCCTCCCTGGGCTGCCAGTAGTCGGCCACCTCCGGGCTGACCTGCAGTGGCCAGTGTGGGCGGCTCCAGTGGGCTTCGTCCTGCGTGTGGCCTCTGCCACCCCAACACCGCCCAGAGACTGTTCGGACCCCACTTCTGTTCACCGGGCGAAACGAAGGGCGCGGTGTGGCCGCTCACACGCCAAGGAGGACAGCGCTGAAGTGGGAGCCACTGTGCACCGTGAGGGCAGAGCCACTGGCGTTGTCCAGGAAGACAGAGGTGTACTGCCCCGTCTGCAGGGAAGGTCACAGTCAGCCCGGGTTCTGCCAGCCTGCAGGTGCGCCCCACAGATAAGCAGACCACCCCCCCCCACCCACTCAGCCCCCCGAAGGTCTCAGGGCCAGGGCCGGGCTGGGCCGGCCTCGCCCTCAAACCCGGCGCCTCTGACCCCTCTCCCACGGCTTTCTCCTCGGCTCACTGCTCCCATAGCTCACGTGTGTCTGGGTGAGCCTCTGCTCAGGGCCAGCAACAGGTTCAAGACCCAAGACCCAAAAGGTTTCTCTGCTGCATGTGGTTCTCCAGACTGGGGTGAGGGTGGCCTCCAGCCATTTAGCAGAGCCTTCACGGGCCCGGGACTCTGGCCTGCCTGCTCCAAGTGTGGTCCACAGAGCAACAGTGGCACATTCCCTGAGAACTCCCAGAGAAGCAGAATCTGGGGGCCCACCCACCTTCTGCATCTTAGGACCCCAGGGGGACCATGTGGCCCCCAGCAGTACCTGGGACCAGACCCTTGAATGCCTTCCAGCCACCACAGCCGGCCAGACTCAGCCTGGCCCGATTCCACGTGAGCTTGAGCACATTACTTAACCCTTCTCCGCCTTAGTTCCCTTATTTAGAAACAGTGGAAACACTACGTCAACTATACTTCAATAACATTTTCTTAAAACGAACAAAAAACAGTACTACCGACCTCAAAGCACTATGATACTTAAGCAGATAATTTACGTAAAGAGCTCAGAACAGGACCTGGTGTAGTGCTAATGAAGGGCCCGCTGTGATTCCATACATCTGCACTTCAGTGTTTTCTTGTTTAGTAAATCCCACCTTCCCATTGGTTTCTCGATCCCTTGCCAAAAGCCCCCCAGTGCCAGAAAGAGACCGTCCAGTAGGGTTCTGTGTAGAAAGTAGGCCTCCTGATTCCCACCGTCTCAAGAGGCCCAGGCCGGGCGTGGAGCGGACCTCTGTTCCCTCTGCCACCAGTCCCTACACGGAGCACCTGCCCTCAGTGTGGGATGACGGGCAGGTCTGACAACTGCAGACTGAGCAGCTGAGCGCCTGCTGAGGAGGACCGGCCAGCGCTTGCGGGAAGGGGACCTGCAGGTGGCCCCGCTCTGCCTGAACCCACGTAAACCCCCCTGGTGTGGCCTGCAACCTCTCCCAGGCCCGGAGTCTGCCGGCACTGCTCCCAGAGATCCAGAGCCCCCATCAGCACCCCTCCCTTCCTGGTCACCCCCCAGTGGTGCCCAAGCCTGCCCCACGCACCTGCAGGTACAGAACACCATTGACCGAGATGGTGAAGAGCTCACTGCTGCCCTCCAGGCCCATGACAGCCTCCAGGGAGCTGTGGCCAAAACAGAGAGAGGATCAGCCCACACCCCCCGGGCTCCACCAACCTCACCCACAGATCACCCCAGCAACCAACACGGGCCCAGCTAAGTGCAGTGGTAACAGCTGTCTTGGCCAGGTGTTCTGGTGGAGGTGGCGGCTGAACTGGATCCCCAAGAAGAGTCAGGACAGTGTCCACAGGGCAAAAGAGGTTCTGCAGGTGCCGGGAAAGGCAAGCCGGGGCCCAGGCCAGGGGCTGAGAAGTCCTGGCTCTGTTGGAAACAGGACATGGGCTGGGCTGAGGCCGGGTGGCAGCAACTGACGCAAAAATGTGGGTTCAGGCCTCCGAACGCAGAGTAAGAAGTTCTGAACTTCATTCCCTTCTACAACTGTTGTGGGGCGCCTGGGCTCTGCTGGGGGTTCAGAGGCACAGCCGCTGCTCTCGGGGGCCACAGGTACGAGGAAAGGGGGGTGCGATCATGTCAGGGAGCCGACGGCCACGAGGAGAGAGACTGGTGGTGTGGACTGCAGTGGTCACGAGAGGCCTCTCCGAGGAGGAACCGGTGGTGCCTCTGGGTGACAGAGAGCCCCCTGCAGGGGTGAGGGGAGCCCGGAGGCTGGGAAGGGGTGGGTTAAGAACAGGGAGCCCCCGCTGCTGGGAAGGGAAGGCCTGCTGCGGACCGGTGCAGGGACTGGGAGGCCAGGAAGAGGCGTGAGATCGCCCAGGGCCACGGTGCAGCGGCGATGGGCCATGGAGCACGGGGTCTGTCCAAGCCGGACGGGGCGCGGGTGGGGGCTACGTGGGGGCGGGTCTGGCGCCGGGGTCCCCCACCCCCCGCCCCCACTCACGCGTTCCGCTGGCACCGGGACTGGATGCAGATGAGCAGGCGCAGGTGGTCCCGGGGGCGCGGCGGCCCCCGCCTGGGCTGCTCGTCGATCGCTGCGGGGCAAGGCGGGGGCGGTCAGGGGGGGGGGCGGGGGCCACGCGCGCTGGGGCGGACCCCCTCCCGCCCCGGGCCTCACCCGCGTGCAGCGTGGCGGCGAGCGCGTAGAAGCCGGCGACGGGAGCCGTGTACTGGCCGCTGGTCAGGTTCAGGCCGGGGCCGCGGCGGAAGGCGCCCTCGGCGTCGGGCTGCGGGGCGCACGGCGGTCAGCCGGGACCCGCCCGCGCCCGCCCGCGCCCCCCGCCCCGCCCGCCGGCCGGGACTCACCAGGTAGTAGCCGCCCAGCTCGTGCAGGGCGCGCCGCTCCACCGACGCGTCCCGGCGCAGGCGGCCGTGGAAGGCAGCCTCGACGCGCGGCGCCCGCGGGCCCGGGGCCAGGGGCGCCGCCAAAAGCGCCAGCACGCCCGTGTCCCCCGCCGCCGCCTCCTCGTTTTCCCGGATGGCGGCCGTGCCGTCGGCGGGGCCGCGCGTGCAGGGCTCGGGCTCCGTGCGCTCGCGCTGCCGCACCGCGCCTGGCACAGAGCGAGCCGTGGCCGCGCCCGCCCGCGCCCCTGCCCCTTGCTCGGAACCCGCCCTGCCGAGCGCTGGGAGCCCGCTGCCCACGGCACCCGACCAACGCGCTGGTCCACGCCCCGGGATCCACGGAGACCCCTCCGGGGCTGCAGGGCCCGCAGGCCCGGCTTCCCGAGCCCACGCTGCTCCCTCTTCCCTTCAGGCTTTGGCTACCAGGGAGCTCGCGGTTCCCTGGCCCCGCCTCACCTCGCCCTGGTTCTCCTGCCTCACCTCGCCATCCTCCCCACGCTGCCCCCTCACGCTGCTGTCTCCTCCGCTTACAGTTCTACTGTACCCCCGAGAGCAATCGTACAAGCTGCCCTGCTCACTTCTGCAAGGAAACTTCGTGTAAGTAAGCACTGCGCGGAGATTCTTTAGCTTTCTGAAGTTGGTCTATTTAAATAAACAGTATACTGAATTGAAGGGGGGAAAGGCTCTCTTAATAGTTCTCATAATAAAGTGAACTCTGGTAAACGTAGTGAACATGCGGGGCCAGCTCCTGGGCAGAACAGCTCGGCTCAGCTGTCCGCCCTCCCTCTGCTGCCTCCAGCTCAGCGGTCCCCGGCCTGGGCCGCACCTGCGCTGCCCACTACACGCTCCTTCCTGCCCCCCGTGGGGCTCTTGGCCGGACGCTAAGACCTGCCACGGGAACAGGCAGGGACACAGTGATCCAGGGGGAGAAGTTGGGGACTCAGTCGGGGGCCCGTGTCACCTGGTGTGAGTCTCAAATTCCCATGGTTTCTTTGTGATCAAGAGCACTTTGCAAGGTTAAGGACCTCTGATCCCAGGGGTGCCTGGGTGGCTCAGTTGGTTGGGCGACTGCCTTCGGCTCGGGTCATGATCCCGGAGTCCCGGGATCGAGTCCCACATTGGGCTCCCTGCTCAGCGGGGAGTCTGCTTCTCCCCCTGACCCTCCCCCCTCTCATGTACTCTCTCTCTCTCATTCTCGCTCTCTCAAATAAATAAATAAATCTTTAAAAAAAAAAAAAAGGACCTCTGATCCCTTCCTGATGATCCTCACTTGGTGGGGGTTGGGTACAGGTGTCCTGGCCTTGGCTGGGCTCACCTGACTCCCAGAGGGGGCATGGGTGCTGGTCCCCGAGCCCCCACGGAACACTGAGGGCCAAGTCCACCTTCTCTGTGAAGCCTCCTTACCACGCTCCTGCCAACCCCCGCCCAAGCCCAGCACAGAGCAGGGGCCTCCTTGGGTGCCGGCCGCTGGGGGGACAGCTAGCCATCTCGGCTCCTCCAGGATACCCTCCCGTGGCCGCACGCACACCGAGGGTGTGTGTGCCCCCACAGGTGCACTCCCCCTACCTTTCAGCAGCAGCTGGAACTCCTTCAGCAGTACCTCAGGAGGGACGATGGGGCCAGGGGGGCCCTGGGGGCCGGGGGGCCCTGGGGGCCCCGGCAGGCCAAGCTGAAACGGAACCTCAGCAGTGAGGCTAAGTGAGCAGGGAGGCAGGGGACTGCTGGGACCCCTTTGCAAGTTCTTGCCACTAAGAGGCAGGCAGGAGGGGGTCCTGCTTTGACCCGTGGGGTGGAGGCCGACCTCTGGGCCTCAGACTCCTCTGAGGAGACAGGAAGGCTCTGCTTTGAAAGCCACCAGCTCCGACTGGGAGGACTGGATTGTGCCTGAGGCCCAGGGCTGGCTGGGGTGGTGGGGCCCCTGGGGGTGGAGCTCCGAGCAGGCAAGGACCCCAAGTGGGGACACAGAGGGGTTCCCGGATGGAGGGAAAGAGGGAGAGGGTACACCACAGGTCAGCCAAGGTCAGCAGGTTCTCACTGTGCCCGGCCCCACGCCGGGGCCTGGGGCCTTCAGGGAGCCCACCCTGGGCTGGGGTGGGACCCCAACACAGGAGCAAGTCAGTCCTCTGCAAGGGAGGGCACAGGGGAGCCCCAGCTTAGCTTGGGGTGGGGCCAGGTGGCTCCAAGGGGTGGCAGTGAGGCAAGGTCATGGTGACAGCCCAGCAGCCTGCTTGCCTCAGGCTCAGAGCCCAGCACTCCAGTGTTGAGGCCGACCGGGGGCAGGGAGAGGCCAGCCCTGGGCGGGGGGGGGCGGGCAGAGAAGCCCAAACCCAGTGTGAGCAACACAGCCCTAGCCCAGAGCTCCCCATCCCAGGGGACAGGCAGACATCAGGACCAGGTGCCAGGTTTCTGGCTAGGCTGAATGACAATTGGAACCCCACAGCATCCAGGGTCCCCAGGCTCCCCACCTCCTGGGAACCAGATGGTGTGTCACTCCAGCCCCACTGCAGCCCCCCAGCTCGGTCCCTGACTGCCTTCCCAGGCCAGCCCAGGCCTCCCTCGCTAGGATACAGAGGGAAGAGAAAGGGGGGTAGCTGATGGGGTTGCCTAGCTTCCCAGGCGTGCAGGAAAAATGATAGGTACAGGCCTCAAACTCAGGGTCTCCTGGGCCTCCCTAGCTTGGCGCTTTCTGTGCTCTCTGACCCCAGGCCAAGGGGGAGGGTCTGTTCTCGCTGGCAAGGCTCAGGGTGAGCCAGTGGGGCTGGTGAGGGGTGCGAGGGGATGATGATGGTGGGCTGGGGGTGCACGGAGGGCCCGCAGGGGGAGGCGCCTTGCTGGCCGTACCTGCCCCCCACAGGAAGCTCACGCACACACAGCTGGGGCTCTTGTGCTCACCTTCAGCTTCCTGGCCTTGCCTCTGCCTCCCCTCTTGCCGTTGACACCTTTGTCACTCTGCCTGATGAAGAGCATCCAGGCATCCCTGGGGTCGAAGTTACGTGCTCCCTTGGTGGTGGGCTCCTGGAACACAGCCAGCCCCCAGGTTGGTTCACCTCCCCCAGCAGGTGCCCGCCAAACAGATGGAACTTTTCAGGACGTCACTGTGCGGGACGGGCCTTCAGTGCCCTCGGACCCCTGTCCTTGTCAACAGTGGTGCCCTCCAAGTCAGCAGAGCCCCCCATCCATGCTTCCCTCCCTCCTGACGCATGGAGGACGACCAGGCCACACCACTGCCGGGGCGCTGTGCGAGAAGACTTTGCGGGTGGAGGAAGATGGGGTGCAGAGCTCTGTAGCAGGTGAGAAGTGAGAACCCTGGCATGGCTGGGCCACCCGGCCTCTTATGGCCTCCCTCCGTGGGAGCTGCAGTGAACACACCACCCTGGGAGACTCACCAGGAGGATCGGACGAACAGACTCACATATGCTAGGGAAGAGGCGACTGTGACCATCAGGGCCCTTGTGCGGCCCCCACTGATGTTCCAGGGATGCCCATTTTGGCCCTTGGGGTAGCCGCAGCTTACGGTACAAGATGGTTGGAGGGCTGGTGGCCTAGCACTGCTATGTTATGACTCAAGGCCCCTGCATTGAGTCACTCGGCTTCCCCAGGACCTCCAAAACAAGGACAGTGATGATTCCAGAAACATCCATTCCCCCACATGCTGCATTCTGACCAGTCCTCACACTGAAGAAAATTCCAGGAGGTGCCTTCCAGGGAGAGGCCTTTGGCCTATTAGTCAGTGGACTTCAGGTAGTCTGGACTCTAGGCAAGGCTTCCAGCTGGGAAGGAAATCAGCTCGAGGGCTCAGATGAGGTCACAAGCACCAGTGTAGGTGGCCGATGGAAGGACTCGGGGTTTTTGAGCAGGCCAGGACCTTCCGTCATAGCCAGGGCCACCGGTCTCCTGGCCGCTCTGCAGGGCCTGGGGCCTCCCTTTGGGAGCCAGTGTGCTACGGGGTGGGGGGAGACAGGGCCATCCATGTCAGAGGAGCCTGGGGTTGGACAGAGAAAGGCCTCAGAGTGCCCAGGGTCTCCCCACGACCTGCTGGGTGCTGGGCCCTGCCACGTGCTGTCCTGCTGCTTTGCTCGCCATGGACACAGGACTGGATTCCACTTTACGGCCTCATGCTGCCTTTGGCGGGCACACATGCCGGGAATATTCCACACAGGCTGGATGGGTGCACCAAGCTGACCCCCCCAGCTGCACTCGGACCCCAGTTTGGTTTGGGGGGAGCAGAAACAGGTGGAACCCTGTTAGCCTGCAGCCCCAGCAGACAGGCCTGTGGCAGCCTGGGTGGGTGCGGGGCAGCGGTCCTGGCCCCACCGCGGTCTCCAGCCTTGAGGGGCTCTCAGAAAGGAGGTGGGAAACCTCTGCTACCACGTTGTCCCCCAAAGACAGTCCAAGGCCGGAACGCTTCCTGGAAGCACAGAAGGCCCCTTGCCTCCTGGGGACTAGGTTGACATCTCCCTCCTCCAGGAGGTGTGGCCAATTGTCTGGGTGGGGTTTGCCTTCCCTGGCTTCCAGGGGTGGGGAGGAGGACTTGGGAGTGGCTCCTCCCAGGGAGCCCCAGGGCTGGCTGCCACCTTCACCCTCTTCAGAGGAGGTGTCCTTGGACTTTGTCACTCCAAGTTCCCCCACTGCCCCTAAGCATCTTCCCTGAGGGCCCTCTCCCCTCCCTGTCTGAAAGGCCCCACCCACATTGAGGGCTCCTGGGAAGCCCCCCTGATCCCCACTTCCCCCACCCTGACCACTCTGCACTGCCCTCACAGGAAGGAACAGGGCAGAACAAAAAATCACCCCTTCATGGTCAGAAGTCACAGGCCCCCATGCTCCCCAGACCCAAAGGGAGGCACTTCTTTGGATTTGTTTTTCAGACAGAACTTCACCTAATAAATTGGGGGGAGGGTGGCCAGTAATTGGCTCACACTTTTACAAACAGGTTCTTCCCAGTTTCAGAATCAAGTTATTTACGTTTTATTCACTTCCCAACTTCCTCCTGCCCCCCCCCCCCACAAGGCGTTTTACCTGGGCTGGCAGAATGTTGCACGAACTACCCCAAAGCCCAGGAGAAGGCCGCCCGGCTGCGCAGAGGCGCAGCGTCCAGACGTCCTGTGTCTCCCCTAGCCCCGCAAGCTAAGCCCCGCTTCCACCCCTACTTCAGACAGGACGACACCTGGGTCAGCCCAGGTCCCTGCCCGCGACGCCGCGCCTCCCACCGCCCGAAAGCAAGCGCCCTCCGCCCTTAGGGCACCCGGACCTCAGGGAGCTGCGGGCTCAGGCGGGGGAAACTGAGGCCCGAGGTGTCCAGAACGCGGGGAGGCCGGCGCGCGCAGGAAGGCCGCGGCTTCTTACCGACGGGCGGGCGGGCGGCCCGGCGCGGCTCTCCCCGGGGCCCGCGGGCAGCTCGTTCCCGGGGCCCGGCTCCTGGCGGGCGCGGCTGTCCGCGGGCTCGCCGGGCTCCGGGGAGCCGAGGCCCGCGGCGGCGGCCAGCAGGCCGGCACAGACGAGCAGCAGGCGGGCCCCGGCGGGGCGGCGGGCGGGGGCCATGCGGGCGGCGGGTCCCTCTGACCTCCGACGTCTCGGGATCGCGTTCCCGCTCCGCGCCTTATAACGCGCTTGAATCCCCCGCCTCGCCCGCCGCGCGTCACGGGCCTGCGCCCCCTGCCGGCCGCGGCGCGAACTGCAGCGTCTGCCTGGGCGCGCGCGCGCGCGCGCGTGTGTGTGTGTGTGTGTGTGTGTGTGTGTGCCCGGGTGCGTGCCTAAGTCTACCTGTATGTGTACGTGTGCGTGTGCGCGCCTGTGTGTCTGCTTCTGTGCCTGTGTGTGTGTGTGTGTGTGTGTGTGTGTGTAGCGCGGGGAGGCGGAGAGTGGGGAGGGAGGGGGAGCTGCAGCGGAGGGGGGCATGCAGCGAGCGGGGAGTGCAGGGCGGGGCGCGGGGTAGGAAAGAGGGGCACGGAGTAGGGTGGGGGTACGAGGAGGGGACTACGGGGGCGAACAGGGGCGCAGGCAGGACTCTCTCGCGTTGGCTGGAGCGCCCAGTCCTGTTGAGCGGGAGTACGCCCCGCGGCTCCTCCCTTTGCGCTGTCCCCCTCTTCTCAGGAGAGCCCGGGTGCCCCTTCATCTGACCCTGGACCCTCCGCCCTCTTGACACCCTTTTCTCTCCGGGCAGCCAGGTCGCCTCCCTCCTCTGAGCCTGGGGGCAGCCCTTCTCCCATCTGTTCTGCTCTGAGGCCTGTGGGGACCACGAGGCTTATCCTGGTGGCACCCTGTGAGGTCCAGACCCCACCAACACAGGTTTAGTACATCCGAGCAGGAAGACACTCAAAGACCCTCCCCAGTGCCTCTTTCCCATGTGGGGACCCCTCTCTTCCAGGGCTGCCTTCTCCCCGTGGTTGGGGTGCCCTAAACTCAGAGTGGGCTGCCTTCCCCAGCCCCTTTCGCAGAAGGAATCCACACCCTGGGGCAGCCACCCTGCACTGATGTGGTTGAACCAGGGCCCAGGCTGGGAGGACTGAGCCCTGTGGTGACCTAGCCAGGCACGGGGGCTAGATCCCAAGGCCCAGCCCAAGGTCCTGCTGGAGAAGGGGAACCAGATCCTGCAGGCCTGAACTCCAGGCCCCTCCCTGACATGGGCCAGCCCCCCCGCCCCCTCTGGGCTGCTTTGTTCTGTTCCATACCCACTGCCTCTCTGTCTCCAGCGGAAGGCAGGAGGGGTAGCACTGAGGCGCCCGCACCTGGTGGGCACATCGCGTCCTTTGTTCAAGAGCAGGAGAAGGCGCAGCTAAGGGACACACCATCCAAGGGCCTGCCACCCACATCAGGAGATGATTTCCACCTCTTCAGAAGAGAAGAGGCCTCACACCCTGTTGTATTTCACAGACACTGGAAACTGAAAGCAGGTGGTGTCCTCCCTAGCCGGGGGGAGGGGTCATGGGAAGTCCCCAGCCAGGAGCCCCCCACTCCTGCACTGTTCCAGAGGCTGGCTTCCTGTGCCCGACGGGGGAGGGGGAGAGGTGGGGGGGGGCTGTGGGGGACACAGGAAATATTTCATACTTTAGAAAAAGCCTGGTATTAGGCGTTCATTGTTCTGTGACTCTGCCTCTTTTCCTGTAGGAGGTGAGTATGGTGATAGAGTTGGGGTTTTTTGGAGGGGAGGGTGTTTAAACAAACCAAATACCCTGCCTACCCTGAGAGTCTGTCCCCCCAGGGGTCAGTGTGTCCCACAGACTTATTCTGTGGGGTATCTTTCGGAGGCAAATTAAGACTGCAACAGAGAAGTTCTGTCTGTATCTTGAAAAAAAATTTTTTTTTAATTATCAGTAGAATGAAAAATTTGAAATACCTATAGAAACTGCAGATCCCCAAGAAGACATTTGGTAAACACTGGCTTATATAATATGCACTCAACAAAATATATGAACTTCTTCCATCTGCAAACATTCAACCGTTTTGTCGCTAATAAGGAATCAAATCAGTTGAGGTTGTTGTAATGGCTTCAGAGAATTAAGGATTTCTTGGGTGGGTTCTAGTTTCTGGTCCCCCGAGGAAAGTCTGTTAGGAAGCTGGGTGTGTAGAACTTCGCAATGACATGTTTGTGCTGGGACATGGGCCTCAGTGTTAACTATTACAATTTTGTTCAGTTTCATTTATTCAGAAAGACTTTATCTGGGCCCATAGGACGCCAAGTGTGGGGCGTGTTCTCTCTACCAATCTGCTGGTAGAGAGAGGCTCCTGGCCCCGGGAGATGCAGCTTGCGAACAGTCATTTCATGTTTCTGAAAACACACGTCCACACCCAGCCCCTCCTCCGCTTTTCACCGACCACACGGAGACCACACGGATTAGCCCCGCGAGGCGGGTAGCTTATGTAGGGACACCCAGCCAGCGTTTGGGGCCAGGGCCAGGCCTTCTTGCCCACTGGGCATGGTCCCATCTTCACAATCATCACCTCTTGGCCATTATGGTCCTTCCTATTCTGGATGTTGGGAAATGTGAGCTACATGATGAGCTTGAAGGTTCTTGATGAAAATGTGGCCCTGTCCTTTCCCTAAAGCAAGCCAGTACCCATAGGCTTGGGATTTCCCATGGGTGTCTGGCTGGGAGGGAGGTCCAGGGTAACACGTGTGGCTGGCCACTCTTGAACCCAGTGGGCTCACCCACAGAGCATTCCAACCTTGGGTGGTAAGTGGAATGCCATGGGGGCAGCCCTGCATGGCGGGGGGAAGAGGCTTCTCTTGGGGGCCACTTGCAGACTCTGACTCTGCCTCGCTGCTGATGGTAGCCAGTTTGTTCCAGAGATCCTTGGAGTTTTCTTCTAGTTTTCTTGCCTGAGAGCTGGGATCAATGCACACCTGCCTCTGGGGCCTCTTCTAGGGTGAGCTGAGGTCACGGTGGGCACTGTGCAGGGCCGTGGGTGAGGCTTGCTTGCCTTCTAGGCTGCCTAAGTTGTAAAGGTCCCTGGCCTAAGCCATCGGCACCATGTCATGGAGGGCTGCCTTCAGACGGATATGAAGACAGAGGCTCCAGGCAGAGCATGATTGGAGCACAAGATAGACCAACCCGGCAGTGGGCCTGCTCAGCAAACCTGGTTCTTGCTTGGCCATCTGGAGCAAAAGTCATATTTGGCTTTGGAGGAGGCACCCTTTAGGCATTCATCTCTCTGAGACTCAGTTTGCTGGTCTATAGAGTGGGCATAATGGCTGTTGCCCCTGAGCCTGTCTGGGATCCCACTCATAAGTGAGGTGTGAGCAGGCAAAGCCAAGACCCTCAGCATAGAGACCAGGCTGCTTGGGTGCCCCACTTCTGGGTGGCTGGCCTGGATTCTCTCTGCAGGAATGTGATGCATACTGCTCTCAGGGCCCGATGCCATTTGGCCCAACCTACACTGTGGAAAGGTGAAGCTCGGGCTCTGTCACCTTTGGCAATACTGGGGCCTTCTGGGAATGGAAGGATCCAATTTGGGGCATGTGATCCTTAAGATGTTCATGTGACTTCATTTCCACCTCACAGTGGGGGGGCCCAGCCCGCATGAGGCCAGCTTTGAGGACAGGAGCTGTTGCCATGTGAAAAACAGTTATTTTCCCAAACAGTGAACAGTCCTAGTGATGTCATGGGCCCTGCCAGAGAACCCAAATCAAATCTGTTCTGGTGCTGGTACAGGCTCCCATCACACTGTCCCGAGGTGATGATGCAGCCTGGCTCTAGGGCTGGAGTACACAGAGGGCCAGGACCTTTAGGTGGGGCTCCCTCCATGTTTTGGGGTCCCGTTTCAAAAATGAAATCCACCCAGAGGAGGGTGGGGTTTAGGCAAGGATCACACAGGTCAAGGACCAGCAGAAACCGGGTTCTGGTGATTCCAGACAGCTTGTCCCCCTGCAGCAGCAGCCCCTGGGGTCAGAGCGGGGGCAGCATCTGGGCTGAGGTCACAGATCCCAGGATGGAAGTATGGAACGAGTGGCCACAGAAAGGAGCCCAGATGGAGCCCGAGGTGGCCTCCCCCATGCACCCTCATGCTCGGCTGAAACTTAATCCTCATTCTTGGGCCCTCATGTCACGGCCTCAGCCCTGGCTTCCCTTCAGCCTGCTGTACTCAAGCTGTTCCCACTCTTCTCTTTGCCTCCAAAGGAAGGACCTTTGCCGATGAAGTCATGGGAATAAAAGCTCCCTTTGCCCCCGAAAACAGTGGGAGCCTGAAGTCAACTTGTTGTGTGGCCTCTCAATGTCCAGGCAGGCAACTTTGCAGCTTACTGGAAACTTCCAAACACATGACATCATCTAATTTTCAAATTGTGTGATTATCCCCATTGCATAGATGGAGAAACTGAGCCTGAGATCTTGGGACTGGCCCAAGGTCACTCGTCCGGCCTTTGCAACTTGGGGTCAGTAGCTCATGAAGTGAAGAGTTACTCCGTTCCTGCTGCGTGCCAGGCACAGGGGCGAGTGCTGGGACTAAGCCATGCGCATCCTGGACAGGTCTGTCCTCAGCCCCCACAGGGGAAGGGTCCTTTCTCACTTCTGCCCAGAGCGTCTCTTGGCTTACTGTCTGCTCATTGTTTCCATGTTTTCAATTAATTCACTTAAAAAAATCAGTCTAGCTCGCCTTCAGTTTTAATGTAAGAGGGTAGTTCTGTCTTGCCATCTTGAGAAGAATTATATATATATTTTTTAAGATTTTATTTATTTATTTGAGAGAGAGAACACGAGAGGGGGGAGGGTCAGAGGGAGAAGCAGACTCCCTGCTGAGCAGGGAGCCCAGTGTGGGACTCGATCCCGGGACTCCAGGATCATGACCTGAGCCGAAGGCAGTCGCTTAACCACCTGAGCCACCCAGGTGCCCGGAGAAGAATTATATTCTTAAATGTGATTGTGATCTCAATGGCCCCCAGCCCCTGCCCTGAAAAGCCCTTGGACTGACTATCAGTGTTGAGGAAACCCCGCTGGCTCCCAGGGTGCTTATTCCAAATAGGAAATGACGTCCTCCATGAAGGTTCTCTCTGAAGCCCGCTTCCCTCTTCAGTTAATCAGCGTCATGGCTGGCCACCCTCCTGT